CAAAACGGATCTACTTTAATGGAAGAAGGAATGGCATTTGTAGATGCGACACCGTTGCATGCCGAAAGGGATTTTGTGGGTTGAGGGACTGTGAAGATTGCTCCAAGGCGTTGAAGCTGCTGCAGACTGGAATCAATGGCCTTCGGCTTTGGCGGCTCCAACCAAGGAAACGATTGCACGTTCTGAAAGAAAGCAGTGAGACAATCAGGAATGGCCTGTTTGCTACTTTGGTTGTCGAAACCTAAAGCTATCATTTTTGAAGTTTGGCAAAACGAGGATCCGAGTCTACTTGCGATTCTCCTAATGCTGGCCCGAATAAAAGTCAATTTAAACAGTGGTTAAAAAGGGCAAGAGGTAGACTACTCACAGTAACACCCATTGCAAGAAGATTGAGGAGAACGCCAGAGAGGGGAGCAGATGCAAGTTGGGAGGATGGATGGAGGGCCATTTGATGATCGTATTCAGCGTCAGTGTAGAGGCGTAGGCACACGCCTGAAGCATTTCGACCCGCTCGACCAGCACGTTGCCATGCTTGAGATTTGCTAATCCAAGTGACGCGCAGACGCTGCAGTCCTGTGGCACTGTCCCATTCCCTTGTGATGGCAAGAGGTACCCACACAAGTTAATGGAAAAATGACCAGATTAATAGAATGGTCGCATTCTTCAATGCCAATTCTAGCAAGCTTTCATCTCAACATTCAGTTGTTCGACTAGCAAGCATCGTGTTGCTCAACTGACTATAACAAAAGAAAAACTCATCCCGAAGGATTTGCAGTTCTATAAGCTTCCTTAGGATGTTCAGCAAAACAAGACATTAAGCAAATGCGGTAATAAGTAAGAGAGTGGTATCTTGACCTGCATAAATGTGTAGCATTTCTAGGTAAAATGACGCATTATAGGGCAACAATAGCAGATCAGTTAGCTCAGAAGACAGATGCAGTTCTTAGGTCCATGTTGCTTGTTGCCACAAGTACCTGGTTCTAACTAATACACAATCAGCTAGAACACACCATGACCAGTCATTGACAACCATCAAAAAAGCTTTCCAACCTCCCGTTTAAATCATACCACTCAGAATCTTCCCAATGACAGCTACCCATCCTTGGGAGACAAGAAGGTAAAAAAACAGGAAAGCAAGTAGACGGTTTATACCAGTCAAGCGATCGCATCAATTTATTACGTTAGTGTGCAACACAGGTTGTCGGGCACTTTACAGTCGCGTCATTCTGTCCAAGATGCCTTAGGAACCTCACCGATACATTGGCCCCAGCCATGGAAGTCCTAGTTACTATCACATCTTAATGCCACTAAGGTGCTATATTTGCTGTGCCAAAACTTATACTCTAAGAATGGTAGGTAACGACAACAGTACATAACTTAATGGAAGCTCCATAAATCCTGTCAAAACGCAACTAAACATTCTTCCACTGCTTCACCTCAACTTAACGGACAAGTGTAGAGATTCGCTGACGCATTCAAA